AACTGTCGTGTCCAAACAAAGGCAAGCAAAAATATATCAATATTTGTGTCGTGCGTGTGCGGTGGTGTGTGCGTGTGCGGTAGTGCGTGTGCGGTGGTGCGTGATGATGATGCGCGTGCGCGGTAAGCGGGGAGACGTACAAACATGTCGGATCGGGCTTCGATCGTGGCGGTGCCGATGTGAGGCAGGAGCGTGACCGACGGGAACGTGAGCAGGTCCGGGTGCACCTTGGGCTCGCGCTGTACCGCCACAAAAAAAAAAAAAAAACAGAGAGCAAAGCGCGGTGAGCTGGCTGGGCGTTTGCTTGGTGATCCCGTTATTGGGGGCGAGGCTGCTGCACCCACCTCGAATACGTCCAGACCGGCGCCTCGCACGATCTTGGCCTTGAGCGCCTCGACCAGCGCCTCCTCGTCGATGACCGGTCCTCTCGCCGTGTTGATGATGTAGACCCCCTTCTTCATCTTGGCGAACTGATCGCGACCCAGAATGTGCCCTGATGGTCGCAATTCGTGCACGAATCAACCAATCGACCCATCAGAGATAGGTGCCAGAAAGAAGAGGGCTGGGGAGAGTGGTACGGGTGGCATCGGTGAGCGGAGTGTGGATGGAAATGAAGTCGGATTCGGCCAGGAGGTCGTCCATGCTCTTGTACGTGGCCCCATTCTCCTCCTCCTTCGGCAGCGGGGTGCGCTTGTAATAGATCACCTGCCGTACGACCAACTCGTCAGTGCCCACATTCTTGTTATGTTACCTGTTTTAAGTTGACGTGGTGGTGGCGGTGGCGGCGGTGGCGGCGGTGGTGAGAAAGCAGGCACAGGGAGTGTGTACCCGCATATCGAGCGCGGCGGCCCTCTTGGCCAGCGCCTTGCCGATGTTGCCCATCCTGTGTTAAGAGTGTGTAAGTGTGTGCGTGCGTGTGTGTGTGTTATGAGGAGTGCTCGAAAATGCCCGAGCGTTCACACCTGGCAGGCAGAGGGGAGAGATTTTGTGGGTGTACCCAATGATGCCAAGGGTCTTGCCCTCGGGGTTGTTGCCCCAGAAGGCCAAAATGTCCGAGCCCTGCCTCTCCCAGCTGCCGTCGCGCAAGAATCGCTCCGCCTCCGTCGCCCTGCGGCACCCACAGACGCACCACCGCACACGCACCACCGCACACGCACACGCATCACCACACAGGGTTAGGGTAATGTGCACCTGAAGGAAGCTGGGTGTGGCGTCACCTTCGACAGGCCGCCAAGAGGAGGTAGAGGGCGACGTCGGCCGTTGCGTTGGTGACCGCTCCCGGAGTGTTGCACACCCAAATGTTCCGCTACAAATCGTGCCAGCACCACCGACCAGTGACGTCAGCAAGTACACGGTCGGCCTCATCGCCGCGTACCGGAGAGAGAAAAGTACCTCCGTGGCCGCCTTGACGTCCACGGTGTCGTACCCAGCGCCGAAGTTGCTGATGACCTTCAGCTTGCTGCCCTTTGCTACAAGCTGGGGGCCACCACAACATAACACAATAAATAAAAATAATAAAAATAATAAGGCATGCCGTGTGGAACCTCAGCATCAGCCTTGTCCTTGCCGTGGCAGATGATGGCGTCCACGTCGGTGACCTTATGCAGCACTTCCTCACGGGGCATGTAGTCTTCCGTAGGCCCCAAAATCACCTGACGATAATCATTCAACGATGAGCAAAAATGCGACTACGTTCCGTGCGGGTACACGCACCTCGAACTTGCAGCAAAACTGCTGGAGTGGTGCCGAGATGAACTCATTATTCGGCAAGGGGCGAGTGATCAGAACTTTGGGCTTGCGTTCCATACCGGCAGCAAATCACGATCAACACCGCAGGCGAAGAGCTGTTTGTTCTCCAAAATAGAAACAAATTTAAAAATGGGCTCACCCCTGTTTTGGGGGTGTAGCTCAGATGGTAGAGCGCTCGCTTAGCATGCGAGAGGTAAAGGGATCGATACCCTTCTCCTCCAATATACTTTTTGTGCTGTGTACTTTGCTTAGGATTGCCAGTGACAGGTGGCAGGATGATGAGGGGCGGGACATTGAGCAAAGGGCCAGACATGACAAAAGAGCAGCAGCAGGACAACAGGAAGTGACAGAGTATCAGATACAAGCCACAGACACTGCTATGGCTGATTTTGGCACCAGCTGCACAGCAGGCAACCCCTGCTGGGTGTGCATTTTCTGTTGGCATGTCAAGGCCTGCCATGGCCTCATCCAGACTGGTGGGCCACATGTGCAGCAAGCTTCTGTGCTTTGAGGTTGAGCTTGATCAGCAAAGGCCTTCCTCTCATTCAGCCACCCTCCCACTTAGGTCCCTGAAGGTAAGCCACAGGTGTATTATTTGGGCTATTGTTAGTGGGAGGCCCTCCAGAATAAAACAAAGGAAGGAGAGAAAGTGGAAAGTGTAGAATGCATATCAGTGGAGGCACTAGGGGAGTGAGGACTGGCAGAGTGAGGGCTGATGGGAGTATAGGTTGTGGGGGTGCAGTGTAGGTCAAGCTGGGTAGTGGGTCACAGGGTGTGGTGGTGCAGAGGCATGTGTCCATCATGTTGGGGTGAAAAATCAAGGTCTCAAGATTCAAAGACATTACAAACCACTGAAAATTCAAAAACTGTTATCTGGCTGCATCCCATACAAGGTCTGTCAAGAGGTCAGCCTTGCTAGCTCAGTCGGTAGAGCGTCAGTCTCATAATCTGAAGGTCGTGAGTTCGATCCTCACGTGAGGCACTCTCTTTTTGTACTGTATTGTTAGAAACCAGTTCTGTTTAAGGGAATTTTAGAATGCCAGAGTGTTCAGGGGAAATGAACCAGTTAACCTCTGGCCAGATGAAATGTGAGTGAAGAAATGACTGTGCAAATTTTGGGACTAAAAATGGATATATGATATGGGTACATGACAATTTACTTGCTATTGTTTCAACATAGGATGGTCTGTGGTGTTTTTGTGTTTATGTGTGTTTTTGTGTTTGTGCACAAAACATGTTTGCTTAGGGGCTTGGCCCAACAACTTGGCATTTCAACAGGTTGTGTGGAAAATAAGGGTCCCACCAATTGCCACTCTGTAACATGTGCCACTTTCTCAAAACACCCTTCACAAAAAGAATCATTACAACAGTGAGTTTGGTAATAAAAGTCAAAATAGTGCATCAATCCTAAGCAAAGTACACAGCACAAAAAGTGTATTGGAGGAGAAGGGTATCGATCCCTTTACCTCTCGCATGCTAAGCGAGCGCTCTACCATCTGAGCTACACCCCCGGAACTATGTGAGCCCATATTATATTGTCTATTCGTGGAACCTCGTGTCCTTGCAGTTTCGTGCCGAGGCAACCACACCAGAAAACGAAAAAACAGCACAACAAACCCAACGCAAACAAGATGTCGTTTTGTGCCAACTGTGGAGGCAAGCTGGGGGCTGGGGCACGCTTCTGCAACGGATGTGGCAAGCCAGTTCAGGCGCCCTCATGCTACCAGTGCGAGAAGCCCATCGCCGGCAAGGTGCTCAACGTCGGTACCGCTCCCCCACTTTTTTGTTTTTATTTTGTTTTTATTTTTTGGCTGAGCTCACACCGCCCGGTCGTGCGGCAGACGGGGAGCCCACGTGCGAGAAGTGCAACGCTGAAATGGATGCTGCTATCGGCCAGGCCCTCACCAACGCGCAGTCAGAACACAGCAAGTATGGCGGCTTCATAGACAGAAAGTACTCCCCTGCTTTTGTGCACGTGTTCTGTTGTGCGTGCGTTCAAAATGTATGTCGTCTGGTAACCGGCGGTACCTTGAGTGCAGGTTTTGAGTAGGCCCTATCTGTCGTCCACAAGAGCTACACGACACAGAGGATCACTTGTAGACATCGTGGTGCAGTGTACAAAAATCAAGTGCGTGTTGGTACCCCTGTACTTGAAACGTTTGAGCAAGAAAAAAAAAGAGGTGCAACCACAACAGTGCTTGCTTCAACGTGATGGCTTAAAAAGAGGTACTACCACAACATGTCAAAAGGTAGATAGCCGACCGTGGGGCTCGAACCCACGACCACAAGATTAAGAGTCTTGCGCTCTACCGACTGAGCTAGGACGGCTTGCCGATGGTGCTGGTGGGACAAGAAGAGCGAGGTACGCCCATCTGAGCTTTTAAAAGGCTGTGGGAGCATTCTGTTGTGGAAGTTAAGGGGCCAGTGTGGGTTTGAATTTCAGGAAAAAACAACAACAAAGTCTGGGTGTGGTCAGGTTCAGAGGAAAACCAAAGCCACATTCTGCAAACACAAGCTTGGCACGCAAATTTCACCAAATTGGTGTTGTTAAGCAGAGGGGCGCCAAACCCAGGGACACCATTGATTGTAAGTGACAAGCTACTCCAACACAATCCTCGGTAGCTTAGTTGGTAGAGCGCACGGCTGTTAACCGTGAGGTCGCAGGTTCGAACCCTGCCCGGGGAGTTCTCTTTTTATGTTTGGTGGTTGCCCGAAAAACCCCACATTGCTGTGTCCACTTCGCATATCATGAGGGTGAAAGATGGGGGCGTAGTTCAATTGGTAGAGCGTCTGACTCCAGATCAGAAGGTTGCGTGTTCAAGTCACGTCGTCCTCAAAATCTTTTTTGTTTTTTGTCCACCTTTGAAGCAGGTGAGTGGGTGTTATGGAGCCCTTGAATTTGTTTGATTCCATTGACACCATTTTCCTGTTTCCTTGTACTGCTCCACAGGGAATTGTGAATTATACCATTTGCACTCAACTTTTTTGTGGTACAAAACTGATAGGTGCAGGTGCCAAGTAACACTTTTTGTGCAAATAGGAATGTCATTTTTTACCCACCACCCCCCACACTACCACCACACACCACAGTGGCCTGACAGCCAACTCCAAAATTGGGAGGGGTCCCCTCTGGGGATGGGGTGGGTTGTGTGTGGGTGTGGGGGTTGTGGTGGTAAAACATGACAAGGGCGCTGCGTCCGCCTGAAACGAAAAGAGATATGGTTGCCCAGCACAATAGGGACGCTCCGCATTGGGCCACTGACCGCGAAGCCGTCCTAGCTCAGTCGGTAGAGCGCAAGACTCTTAATCTTGTGGTCGTGGGTTCGAGCCCCACGGTCGGCTATCTACCTTTTGACATGTTGTGGTAGTACCTCTTTTTTTCCTTGTTGTGGCAATCTCTTTGTCCATGATCTTTGAAGAAGAGAACGAAGAAGCAGGCCATAAACACTCATCTGTTTTTGTAAGTTAGAGTTCATGTTGGGTGGGGGCGTTGGAGGCTGGGAAACGGGCGAACAGAGCCACAAGGTCGGCTTGCGTGCTTGGCGCGTGCAGGCTGGATTGTGCGAGGGAGCGCGGAGAGTGCAGCATGCTGCCATCGTGAGCCCTGATCAGGTCGGGGTCCGCTCCCGCCAACAGCAGGCACTCGGCCATATGCACGTTGCCTTCCTTCACTGCTCAGCAAAACACAGTGCGATACGCGCGCATACACCCCACACACCACCGTGAAAGCACATGCACAAGTGTAAGTACGGCAATCACCTTCTTGAGCCAAAACACAGCGCACCTGCGGTGTGGAGCGCAGTGACGAGGCCTCGCGTCTCATGATGGCGCACGCTGTTGATGTCGGCCCCATTGTGGACCAGATAGCGACACACGCGGCGATTGCCGTCACGCAGGCATTCGGAGACGAAGAGAAAATAGGCACGCTCGCTCGACCCCGCCTCGCGGACCAGATGCGCAAATAGTGCCAGAAGCTCCTCGTTGGGGCTTGTTGCTGTGTGCATGTGCGGCGTTTAGGGGTGCATGCATGTGGCAAGGTGTTTGGGGGCGTTGGGGTTCCGTACTTGCGTTGAGGAGGGCCTGGAGCTGCTCGTAGAAGGGTTGCACCGCATGATCGAAGAAGAACTTGGCCACCGCAATTCGGCCTTCAGTCACCGCCGTCAGCGCCGCTGACCGAAGCATCTCCACACTGCAGTGGCGTGTGTGTGTCGGGTGTCGTGTGTCGTGTGTGGTGTGTGTGGTGTGTGGTGTGTGTGTGTGTGATGCGGCCTCAACAAGATAATCGAGAGAAGCGTCGGGTACTCTCTTTCGACGTCGCAGTGGGCAAAGAGCAGAGTGACGGTCGACAGGTGTCCCGCCCGCGCAGCCAGGCACAGAGGCGTTTGGTCGGTGTGGGACAGCGACGGCCAGTGTGTCGGATCGAGCGCAGTGAGGCGAGCCCCGTGGGCGATCAGGCATGACACGGCCCTGTCGCAGCCGGACGACGCGGCCTCCTGCGACAAGGCCATGCGGTGGTGGCCGTGTCAGTAGTCATCTTGTGACGGCCGATGGCGGTTGGTCAGTGCACCAAACCTGGAGCGGCTGCAAGTAGAAGGAGTTGGAGCTCGGGTATTCGACGCGGGCGCCCTTGGACAGCAGGAGCTGGATCAGCGGCACGTGGTCCCACTTGATGGCGTTGAGCAGGGGCGCCACACCGCGTTCCTGCAACTTGGCGCCCATGTCCAGAAAGATCTGCCCACGCCCCTTCGCCGTCAACACAGCACAGCGCATACAACACACACACACACACCACACCACCACCACCACACACCACACACCACACACCACACACCAGGCGCGCAGGAGTAAAGGCTCCGCCGTCAAGCACCTTCTTCCCTTAATTTTGCAAATAATTCATTACACAAAGCTTGCTTGGTGTTGGTCAAAATGGGCTGAGATTAATCACAAATTGCTCCATGCGTAGACTTGGACTGCTCACACCACATACCACACAGCACGCATCGCACGACACTCACCTTGGCCGCCTCCAATGAACCGCCCTGACACGCGTGGCGGAGTCCGTTGTCGGCGAGGGTCAGCTGGATGCCGGAGCCGCTGCCGGCGAAGGGGTCCGACACAGTGTAGGCCGCCTGCGCCCCGCCGCCGCCGGCCAAGGCGGCCTGGACGTCGGGGTCCTCGGCCAGCAGCCGGGCGAGCCTGACGTGGCAGCCCATCGCCGCCGCAACCCACACGCGGTCCAGCCCCTTGGCCTCGGCCAGCTGCTCGGCCTTGGCGCGGTAGTCCTCCTCCCAGTCCACATCACCCTGTGATGACGTTAAGGTGGCAACAAACACGGCGTTAAGGTGGCACTCGGCCAACACGTTAAGGTGGCAGGGCGTACGGGTGGGCAGCGGTAGAGGTTGACCCCGAGGTGGCGCTGGACGAGGGTGCGCCACAGGTGAGGGTCGTGCCGGAGCCGGTCGAAGCGGGCGCAAACCAGGCCGAACGACGCGACGTCGGCGAGGCTGGGCAGGTGGCTCAATATCAGCATCACCTCCTCGTCCGCCAGGCCTTCCATCTTCTGCAGCTGCTTGCTCTGTCTCACTCCGCGGCTTTCTCTGCACGCCCAAGAAAACTCTAATAAAATTGATTTCGCCTGTAAAGATCGAACAAGGCTGCATGTGTGGAGTGGGCGCGAACAAGGACCAGGTCAATGGGTGGTTCTATCTGGTGGCCTCCATCTCCATCTACTCATACATCACGTTTTGGCTCCTTGTCCTGGTGCGTGCCCCACACCTGCATGAATGCGTGCGCAAGATTCAGAGAGAAGATTTTGATTTGTTGTTGTTGTTGTTGTTGGCACGCAGCCATTCATCGAGAAGGACTTCCATGTGATACATTCCCTGTTCCCACCAGCAGAGTATGCCATTAAGTACGGTTGCCGCCACACTCGCTGCACAAGGAAATCTCTCACTTACCTGCATGTCGGTGTGCAGGACGATGGTTGTTGTAGGCATCTTCGTGCTCACCATTGCCAGCACCTTCATGGGTGTCGTCATGCTGCGAAGCCATGCCGCCACCGTGGAAGCACAAAAGAGCAACAGCGCTGCCCGCAAGCGAACGTGAAGTGCACGTTGTACAAAAAAACAAAGGAGAAAAAGGGAGATAGCCGACCGTGGGGCTCGAACCCACGACCACAAGATTAAGAGTCTTGCGCTCTACCGACTGAGCTAGGACGGCTTCGCGTGCCATCGTGAAAAAATGGTGATTTTCGTAAAATGCAAGGAGAAAAGAAATACTACTTATTTTTATTTTTTACTTCCAATTACTTAAAACTTGCCGCGAAGATGTCGTACCGCCCCTCCGCCAGACTCATGTTCAGGGCGTCGCCCTTCCGTGCCGGAGGTACTGGACCTTTTGCCCCACTGCCCATTCATTCAATTGATTTGTTATCGCACAGTTCAAATTAAATGAATCACTTCACATTGATTATCCAGGCCACGGCCACGGAGCTCATTCGCTCCATGCGCCGCCCAAGCCCAGGATGCAGCTGGTGGAGGCGGAGCAGGTGTTTGACCGCCCCTTCCTCAACATTCTGGGTGTCTCTGCCGGTGCTGCCTTCGTGTTCTACCACCTCATCGCCATCCCGTTCTTGTACCTCCCCTTCCCACACACTGGCCTCATGTCTGCTTCACTCATGCCACGCCATGCACTCACTGTGATGTGGATGGTGCTGCACTTAGCAAGGGCAGTGACAAGCCTGCAGCGCAGAAGCTGGCACAGAACAAGCACTAAAGCTACCTTCAGTGCTCAACAAAAAAAGGGACATATAAAACCTGTTTTCAATGTTAAACCAACCTGTGTGATGTTCAAGACACAGGCCCAAAGGTGAAGTTGTGCTGGTGATAAGGGAAAGGTGTGGTGTTTATTAAGTAGGTATGGTGAGAAAGGTGGGTGAGGCATACAAGGTTAGGCCACAGAAGCACTGCATTTATATGCAAATATCCAAGGCAGTTGGTTGGGTTATTTTCTAGCTTGTTGATGATGAAGTGAAAGCAGTAGGATTGTAATAACAAGTGCAAGTAAAGGAAGTTGTCAAAACAGCCACACCCTCAGGATGCCAGGGATCAACATCATCTTGAGATTGGCCTCTGAGACTACAATTACAAGCACCGCTCATTGAGCCCATTGCTGCTGCTGTTATATGGATTCCTTTATTATATACCTACAGAACTGATCCATGAGCAGTATCTCCACATCCAAGACTTACCCTCACATGGGTGGGGCTGCCTCAACAACAATTCCCCTGTGGTGTAGTTGGCTAGCATTTCCGCCTGTCACGCGGACGACCCGGGTTCAAATCCCGGCGGGGGAGATCTGTCTTTCTTTTGGTTGGTAAGTTTCCAACACAGCCAGTTTGTGGTGGTAACTGTAGTCCTTTTCTTATTGTACAAATGACTGAGCAACTTTCCAATGTCAACAGACACCCAAAAGAATGGGGTTGAATCTCAGGACTAATTTTGGTGAATACACTGTTGGCATGGCTAATGACCTTTCCCTACACCATACCAGCTCCCAAGCATTATATTCTTCTTGAAATGTTCAAGTGGAGATACCACACAGCTCACTCCCACAGTAACCTGCAGTGGGCAATCTGCATTGGTGTTTGTATCCAAGCCTTGTCAATGCATGCATGCTCAACTCATCTGTGTTTAGCTACATTGTTATTGTTGGGCTTTTGGGTCCTTGGTATTCTTCCTTGATGTCATTGAGGGTCCTTCACCAACTTGGCATGGAGTTCTGTAAGGAAGTATGCTATTTTATATGGGGGCGTAGCTCAGTGGTAGAGCAGGCGACTGCAGATCGTCAGGTCCCCGGTTCAAACCCGGGCGCCCCCTTCTCTTTTTGGTTAGAAAACAGATGATTTGGAATGTGTGGAGTTAAATGTGATTTTATCAGTTTGAGATGGGCCTTTGTTGTGGTGGAATTTTATCTTTGGAATAGTGCTCCAATTCAGCCCAAATGATGTGCAGTTGACCATGAACTGGATGTGAGAGTAGCATGTGGGCCACTGATTATGAGGTCTTTTGTGAAATAATGCAGTGTTTTTGTAGCACACTGTGCCATGCACAGGGCACAATATTTTCACTTTCTTGTCTCACTGAAGCAACACAGAAACTGCATGAAAGCTCTGCAAGAACAAGCACACATATGCCAATTTTGCAAATCACTGCCTTAGAATGAAAAAATGTTGTTCTCCCACATGATTTACAGCAGAGATGGATGCAGGGGAAGGCATAGAGTTGAACAGTAGAGATTGAGATGAGGGAGTGAGAAATTTATTGTGAGGCAGATGAGGGTAAGGAAGATGGTGAAGATGGGGGAGAAGGATCATTGGGAGGCAGGCCCAGGATGTGGTGGTGTTGGCAGCAACAGCTTGCTGTGAACTGTGCCTTGCATTTTTTCTGCTTCTCCTCTGCAGAGACATGTAGGTGGTGCTGATGTGCATGGTACCAGTCCCCTTCCCCAGCACAAAGAGCATTACTGATGAGGATGTGGTAATTCATAAGCACAAGGCAGATGGTGAAGGTGGTCGTGTAGCACAGTCATGGCACCACCAATTTCACATTATCACCCAGATCTGCTTCATTCATTCACGCTAGAAGTTCTCACAGACAATCCAATCATAGGAGATGCAAGTGTTCTCATTGATCTGGTCAACAGTGAAGCCCTGCCAACCACAGGGCCTCTTCACAGGAAGGTACATGCACACTCCTGGGAGATTGTTTGCCCCTTGATAGCCTTTTTCTGCAAGTTGGGTGACTTGCACCTGACATGTACAAAATCAAGGTATTTTAATCTGCCAATTCTCAAGATGCTCCCAATTTTGTCTTGCTATTTTTAAATTAAAACCATTTTTGTGTTGTCAAAACCATTTTTATGAGGTTAAACTCACAAACAAAATCACTTTTCAAAATGACTGGACCTCTCATTTCAAATGACCACAAGTTATTGGAAACCTTGAGATTGGTCATACATGTGTCCCTGGTTTGTCAGGTGGGCAGTCATACCCTGTGCACTAAGGCCTGTTTTGTTTGATGAGTTTCATCTCACAGGCATGTGTGCCATAAAACAAAATCCTTAACATCCCTTTAAGACTACATCTCCCACTCCATGCTCATCAGGAGAAAATCAGTTCCACTTAGCAACTTCAAGGACCACACATGTCTACATCACACCAGGTGAACATAGCCAAACCAAGCTCATCCCATTCAACACAATCCTCGGTAGCTTAGTTGGTAGAGCGCACGGCTGTTAACCGTGAGGTCGCAGGTTCGAACCCTGCCCGGGGAGTTCTTCTTTTACCCTTTTTGGCACTCTCCAATTTCAATCAAATGGCACACATGTCCACAGCAATACAGGGCCATTGGATAAGGCACCATCAGGCCATTCAGCTGATTGCAGCCTAAGCAAGTAAATTGGTGCTGAGTGGGGGGAAGTCCAAAAAATTGTAGAGCTTATAACCAAGTGTTCACAAAAAAGGGTCAGTGACTCTTTTTCTCTAACTATTGGGCAGCATGTACAGATTGTTAGGGCTGTAACACCAGTATCTGCACACCCTCCAGAAACAGACTGGTGTCATCTGTACACTTCAACCAGTACAATGCACAAAATCTGAGAAATGTGAACGGAAAATGTGTAGAAAATGTAAGAAAAGACCTTAAAAATGCACATATTTCGGCAAAATTGCAATCTGATGCGCATTGGATGGGCAATCTGTAAAAAGGGATTCTGCCTTTGTCATTCCTTCTTCAATAACATCCTCCACTTCTGTACATTTGCTGAAAAGG